TTCTTCTATATTTGCTCTACTGATAAGTGATACACATGTACCTGAATATAAAATTAATTTATTTCTTAAGCAGTGTCGATTTTAATAAATAAATTCTGGTGTGGTTTTTCAAGTTCAAGTGCAGGGGGCTATCATTCAAAATCCAGCACTTTTGTATGTTTTCTGTTTCACCAGCCGAATGCTTTAAAATAGGTTTCCTATCAAACTTTCTCTCATTCACAATCCATCCTCAGCCTGATATCTGGTTATCTTGACGTGTCAGGACATGCACTTAAAGACCTCTTGCTTTCATATCTTCTACAGAATCTCAGACGTACTATCTCTGTATCTGGAAAAAATCTTTTCTCCTCAGCACCGTGGTCCATTATTATTTATTTAAGGAAGCTGTCAGTATCACCGGCTATATGGAGTTGAACCTGTTCTCAAACACGCTCTCATAATTACAAAATCAGAATTAAACAATAGTAAGGTAATTCTTTAACGTCGCAATCCTTATACAGAAGCGTGGGATGACGTACTAGTTTTGAAATGGCATCACGCAGAGCAGATTACGTTAAGCTAAGATAAATTTGTTCAGATTGTGAAATCTATAATCTGACCGTCACGACAAGCAGATTGAAATGTCTCGTAATAATAATTCTTATAAGAGTCGTTGACAGAATTTTCATTCAAAACACATCAGATGACAATGGTGCTAACATGCAAGTTTAGTGGATAATTTGACACTTGCGAGTGTAACACAGGGCCTATTAGGTTGTGACAAATAAAGAGGTGAGGTTTTAGGTTCTCACGGCAGTGAAGAAGTAGATGTTTTTCCGGATTGTGACTCATTGTGAATATAGATACTAACGTTTCGGAGAAACATATGATCACCTTCTTCAGGATGTATTATCTTTACACAGTGTGTGTGTAAGTTTTCTGAATAAAGATAAATTATTCCTTAAACAATATTAAGAATCTGATGTTTGTAATGAAAACCAGTTGTGTTTTCTGTGAGATACGGACTAAATTTATAAATTGTATTTACTTGAAATTCGGGCTTTAAAGTTTTATATATACACACACACACACAGCGACGCATAATTTCAAATACAAAATGTAGATGAAACTAAAGTATAGTTAGTGCAACACCAGCCCAGAGATGAAGTACTTTGTAGTTTTTATGCGACAGGCATGATACGTTTTATAAAAGCTGGTAAGTTCAATTTAAGTGTAATAAATAAATAAGGATTTTACCAGAACGAAAGGAGCCAAAAGTGATTCTCTCCTCATTTTTTGGCTCGCACTGTCAATACCAAGTTTCATTTAAATCCATAAAGTATTTTCGGAAACAAATAATTGGTAAATTCGCAATCTTATCATGCGCTCATTTATACACTCCGTGCAAGAAGCATATAAAAAGGGACAGACCAAACGCAGTTTAACATGTCATGATAAATGTGATTAAGAGATGGGTTTAAGATGGCTGTCTTCTGGGTTGTAGAGCCTTGTAGCCTGGTAGAAGTTTATCGACTTCTCAGAGGTGCTTGCTGCCTACACCATTAGGGTTCACAGCAAGTTCCTCTGAAACGTAGGCAAACTTCTATCAGGCTACACGTCGCTACAACCCAGAAGACAGCCATATTCA